TATACAAATGTATATTAGTTATATAGTAGTTCAAATAAATAAAAGCAGGACTGCTTAAAAAAAAATAATAATAATAAGAATAATAAAAGTCGATAGTTATCATGTCCATGAATAGAAATCAATATATAAAAATTGATAGTTATCAAGTCTATTAATAGGAATCGATATAGTAAAAATCGATAGTTATAGTTATTGATAGAAATCGAAATTGATAATTATCAAGAGAAATCGATTATATGTATATATGTATGTATGTATATTGTAACAGGTAAATCGTGGCTTGGGATAAATTTTTTTGTAAAAAGTTTTGCTTCAATTGCCAAATTCGTATAAAATTAGTAGTCTAAATCTGTAATCTCGAAATAGAGCCTCATGACATAATATAGAGCTCTATTTGATTCTAATAACTTGGAACAAGTCTTTCATACCTCTTTTATAACCTGCCATATTAGGGTTTAGATAGAGTTTGATAGTCTAGTGTGTTGTTTGGATTAGTTTTCTTTAGAACAAAGTAGGCAATCTATCGAATTTATCCAAGTTAAAGAACTACTACCCACAGAAAGTGTATAAAGCCAAAATAGTTTCTACCTCTAAAATTCGTTCCAGTACAACAAAGACTCTATCACAGAACTTCATGATCCCATATCAAAGAAATGGGCTCCAGATAAAAAATTGAAAAAAGTGATTACTGTTAAAAGAGACGTAAGTAAGAAATTTAAAGCTAAAAAAGACAAGCCTGAATTATTTAATTGGCATCAAAGATCAGTAGAAAAGAGAAATATCAAAGGTTACTTAAAAGCACAAGCAAGAATTGGACCTCGCTGTGAAGATAGAAGTAGAGCTAAAAAGAATAGTAATATTAGTTTAAGTATATATAATCAGAAATTAGATCAAGTGCCAGATACAAACTTTAAAAACCAACCTAAGCCTGATAAACAGGGTTGACTTGGATAGTATAGCCAATATAGCTCTAGAACAACTAAAAGTAAATGTAAGGCATATATATCATATCAAAAATCAACAGAAAGGAGAGATGCCAATGGAACATATAAAGCAAGATACTGTTATCAAAATAGTGGTGGCAAGAAAGAAACAGATGTGTCGACAGTTGAAGAAGTTAATAGAGTTAAACTGAGTAAGCCGCATCAGTAAAAGGTAACTAAAGAAGTCACTGTAGCATTTTTACAAAGTGCATCTGCTAATATCTTTGTTCCTTCTGATCCAAGCTTATTATTTGAAAGATTTAAAGTTACTATAGTGTTTTTACAAAGTGCATTTGCCAATCACCAGAAAATGAACAAACTCAAAGGGCTATTTGCTGATCCGAATAATACAGAGGGAGTATGAAGCATACTGATGAAATAAAGGTGAAAGGGAAGCTTATGCCAAAATGGATCTTGCCAATGAAAAAGATAATTATAAGGCATTCACTAATCATCGAAAGTTACATAAGACAAACGACGATAAATCCAATTACGAGAAGATAGCCCCGAGCCTAATTAGTGGTTGCCTTACCATAGAAAGACTTTTGTATGATTGGTTGTTTAAATCAATTTAATTTTACATTATTTATACAGTTTAAAGTACTTTTTTAAAAAAATAAAATTATGTATACATATAGAAGTTTTATTAGAGTTGTAAGACTCTACTTTTAAAAATAATCAAAATGATTTCTAGTTTTAGAGAAGTTAGCATAATAGCGACTTCTTAAAGATAGATAGAATTAGGTTATTATCATACTAACTTTTCTAAAACCAGAAATCATTTTAATTATTTTTAAAAGTAGAGTCTTACAACTCTCTATATACTTCTTTTTTGTTTATTCTTCATAGGTTTATTTTTTTAAAAAGTACTTTAAACTGTATAAATAATGTAAAATTAAATTGAATTAAACAGTCATCATACAAAAGTCTTTCTATAGGTTGCTGAAAACACAATAATAATGGATTCTTAAGCCCAGGTGATCAAAAAAATCTACGACTATCATAGAAGTCAAATTAAAAATAATTGAGAAGCCAGATAATGGTTCAAAAGCTTGCTAATAATAGCAAAGCTAGTGAAAGTATTGTATATTCTAATAAAGCCAGAGGGGTTAGAGTAAGTTAAAACTATAACAAACCACATGAAATTAGAGTTGAACAAGATAAATATTGGGTATCTGCTAAGTATTAGAAATCAACAAAGATGGATAAAACTAGTCAAACTTGTTATAAAAAAAACTAGCTACTACAACAAATATAAAAGAAAAGAACCAGCAATCCAATTACACGTAGATTCGCTTTATTTAATCCCAGTAACTACTCATGCTAATAGTAACTAAGAGTGTGTAAAAAATGGATATATGGCATTAGTACATAATCAAAAATCGGCCGTGTTATAGCTGTTTTCATAAATTCTAAAAAATCAGGTAAAATTACTAACCAAATATTTGCTGATTCGATAAGTTTTGATTCATTACTTATTTCAAAAATAAGTAGAAATACAAAATATCTCATTTCTGGTTTATAATAAGTTATCCGGAAATAAGACTTGTAACTTTTTTATATAAGTTATTTGAAAATAAGACTAGTAACTTTTTTTATATCATCATAATGAGTAATTCATAATTAACATATTTCGAAAATAAGTAGGTACAAAATGTCCAATTTCTGTTTTGAAGTTTTGAAATCAGAAAAAGAAATAGAGTTATTCAGAGATAAGATAATTTGTTGTTATTATATGATATTATCATAATAATTAATAAAGAACTACAAATTATCATTTAAAATTTTTTAAAATTCTTAAGCAATATTACATATTTATTTTTTAATTATTAACAATCAATATATCTCCCCAAAAAAACCTTTAAACAAACCACTAAAGAAGAGAACTTGATAGTTTTTTAACAAATAGTAAGAAATAGTAGGGAATAATAGGATATCGATCTAATTCAATTGTTTCTAGATTTCTTTTTCTTTAATATTGCTATATTTGTATGAGTACCATTAGAATCTTCCTAAAATACTATTTAATATGTAATTGTTGATTGGAAATATAGAAATTTTAAAATATATGAAAAGATATTAAGTTTTGAAAGAAAATTTATAATCATAAAAGATATGCTTACAAATCAAAATAAATGAGATTTATGAACCGCTGATTTCAAAATAAATACATTGCTAATTTAATTCGAAATCAGAAACCTGCTCCTTAATTCTGAATTACCCTAATACTTTAATCACACCTAAATCAGAAGTTTATCACCGCAAAACAAAAACTTATCGAATTGGCAAATATTTGGTCAGTAAATTTTGCCTGATTTTCTAGAATTTTTGAAAATAGCTGTAATGGAATAAGTAATCTCAGTAACTGTAAGATGATAAAAGGGTTCTTCTTCTTTTAAGTAGTTTAATTCTTTTTTAGTCTGTTTTTTCTCAAATTCTAATTTTCGAAAAAGATGAAATAATACATTTACTCATTATCAGAAATCTGCTAACATGGGTAATAAAATAGTAATGAGTAATATTGCTCAACTGTATCAAAACAGTCTCAGTACAAAAAGAGATATTTAGAAGGCAAATTATTGGTCAGGAAAATATAGAAGTCTTTTGAAAACTAATAAATCACCAAATCATATCAATCCTGAACTTAAGAGAATACATATTAGATGATGAAAGATTTAAATTATCTTGAATTGATTATTTTGTTTTATTTAAGTTTTCATTTGATAAGTTTCTAATTAACTTATTATTAGTTTTAAGCTTGCATTGCTGGGTTAATGAACATCACAATTATAATCACAAGATATCAAAAAATATTTATTGAGGGTTATATATATATATTATACAAAACATAGTACATATATTAATATATATATTGATATATAGAAATTATATTGCTAATCGGTTAGCTTAAATAATTGGTTATCATCTTTTTGAGAAAGAAGTACAGTGCTACTTTGAGATGCAGCTAGGGATAAACATAGAGAATTAGATTTAGTCAGATCTTGAGACGATAGTGATAAAATTGTTGATTCAATATCTGCGATTGCCTCTGCTGTTTCATATGATAAACCTCTATTGTTAAAGTCATACTAAAAAAAAATACTGTTAAAATTATTATACCAAAAAATGACTTATACCAAATACTTACAATATAATGCTCCAAGCGAAGTTTCATTTTTTTTTCAATACAGACAACACCTATTAAACGAGAATTCAAGATAATGTCATGCGCACTTGTAGGAGTAGGAATTGTTGCTTGAGGATAAGCAGATCTTGCAATTGAAGCTAACCAAAAAACCTTTTCACTATTTTTTTCAAAAAGCAGCTTGTAACAATTTTTTACTTCTGGAAGGCTTCTCCACCTCATTATTTCAGATGCAAAAGTACTAGATTTAAGTAGAGGCAATTGTTCAGAGCCAAAAACTCTCCACAATACTTGTCTAATATTGGACAACAAAGTACCACAATGGTTTTTTACTTTCACTAAAAGCTTAAAAAAAGAATATATATTAATAAATAATTAATAGCAAAAAATATATATATTACAATTTATATATAGCCCAAATTTCAGGTCTGGTTAGAATATAAGATCGATTTTTCTGTATATAACTATATTTGAATATCACATTAATAAAAAAAATTTAGATTAATTCGTTTTATACATAAAAAAAAAATTATATGTATAATAATTAACTTTGCAAAACTTACTAAATTTAGCTAATTTTAAATTTTCCAAGATTGATCTTATATTCTACTATATAATTCGAAATTTAAAAAATTACTTAGCTTGTCCACTGACTATGGTATAGGTTTGTAAATTGATTATCGCTAAGGTCTGATATGTATTTAGGAAATTTTTCATTAAGATAACTCTTAAAAGTATCTTTTAATAAGCTTTGTAAGGAGTAAACATGTTCTGAAAACAAATATTTGGCTACACCAGCATAAGCTTTCTATAAATATTAAAAAAGATGTAGAGATTTTTTTTAGCTTATACTACGTAATATGTGCATTATTTGAATAATTAATTAAAAGCAATAAATCTACGTCAAGAACATGAGGAGACAAAGTAGCAATTTTTTTATCTGTTTTTTTAAATTCATTCTTAATTTCTTTGATGCTATCAATAGTTTGTTTAGCTATAATATACAACTATTGATGCTAAGCAAAAAGACATTCTTCAACTTGTTGGCTGTAGCAGTTTCATTCTAATAAAATAATATATAATAATATATAATATTTCATAAATGAAAAAAAATTTATAATTTTTACCCTCTTAATTAGGCAATGTATCTCCATCAGACATATATGGTAATGATAGTTGACTTTTGACTAGCCATTTTAATAAAGATAGATTTGGAATTCAATATGAAGCTATATTAATGTAACAAGAAAAAAAAAAAAAAAAAACTTAGTTATTATATAGAAAAGTTAAATTTCGACATAGTTTAAATGAGAGTTGTATTGTATTATAGTTTGTTGATTAAATTTGATAATAAATTAACAGCAAAGTAAAATTTGTAGAGTATAATAATGAGGTTAACATTTATTATAAATAATAATAAACAAATATTTGTTACTTTAATAACATTGTAAAAAAAATACTAATAAATTAAAACCTTTGGCAATAATTATTTTAATTATCGGAAATAATTACAAGTATTGCAAGGTAGGTTAAATAGTATAATTTATTGTCATATATAAATTGAAACTTTTGGCAATTATTCAAAGTTTTAACTAAAACTTCTCAGTATGTAAATATTGAGATAGTTTTTGTCTTGAATCATATCTATTTATGGTTACATCAGTTTGATCAAATGATTAATTATTCAATCGATCAAAAAGGTTGAGTAAATATGAAAACATACGTATAAAATGAGATAATTGTAAAGTAAAAATAACAAATAGCAATATATTATATACTTTAAAGTGCCAAATTGCTATGTGTTATTTTCTAAAACATTTTGAATAAGTTTTGTATTGCCATGTGTTATTTTTTAAAATATTTTAGATAGATGTTGCAGTGTTTCTTAATACCTCATGTACTTGTAGCACCAGAGTTGGATAGCGATACTTATGTGACTATCGATTGAGTATATGTTGATCAAATATTGTAATCAGGATTTGTATAAATGGCATGATCCTGATTTAATTAAAAGTCTAAAAATAGTATTGCATGAACAATGTAGTAATTAGAAACAATTAGTAATTGTATGAACAATATAGTAATTAGAAGCAATTAGTAATTGTATGAACAATGTAGTAATCATTAGCAATTAGTATTAATAAACAAAGTATCAATCCGAATGAAAAGATATCTAGCTTTTGAGCTTTTGTAGCTTTAGTTTTGAGCTTTGATTCTTTATAAATAAACTTTTATTCTTAGTAAATAAACTATTGTATTTGTGTAAATACATAATTGGTGGTAGTATCTAATATGATACTCTAGTCATCATAAATAGCCAAGTAAGTAAAGATTGATAAAAAAGTTAAAGAAGTATATATAGAGTTAAAAAACTATATGACAGTAGGTTTGTTTTGAAACATGTTTATTCTGTTTAGTATTCTAAGCCAAAAATTCTTTGAAATAAATAATTTGGTTAAATCAATTCTTATTATTTAGATATATTTCTTTTAATTACTTTTATTATTAAACATCAATAAAATGACTTTGTTGTGCCTGTATTGCAAAGAAATTGAAGTAGTTAAAGAATTTTCAAGACAAAGTGATTTAACACAGCATTTTATATCAAGTCATTCTTATATTAAAGATACTATATTTGAATCAAATACAACTACAACTACTCAGCAACAACATTTTAATCAAACAATATAGAAATTACCACTACAATTAGAAGATTCTGATAATTATTTTTTAGCCGTAAATAAATTACAAATTTCTAATTAGTGATGTGCTATATATAGTACAGTATGCAAAAAAAAAATTTAGAACAAATTATAAAATTATTCATATTTTAAAAGTTTCTGCCTTTTGTATATTACTTCTTGCAAAATTTATATATAGATAGTTTATATATTATATGTGTACTATATATATTGCATATATTATATACACTATATATACTATATATACTGTATACTAAAAAATCTAAATATTATATAAATAGCACATCACTATTTCTAATTAAGTAGAATTTTAATCAAATAAATTTGTTATTCATTTATTTATTTCTAATTATCTAAATAATTCAGAATACTTAAATATCTAAATAATCTAACAGATATACAAATTATTATCTGAATATTAATAGTAAATAGATATTTAAATAAATTTAGATTTGTATAAATGCTTAATAGATTGGAATTCTATAATTAAATTAGTAAATATTAACTAATAACTATTTAAATTTAGAGTGAAAATGAAATTGAAGAAACTGATTTAATAGAAGATGAGCCCAATATAATAAGAGATCTAATAGAAGATGAGCTTGATATTGTAATATAGTCAACTTTGGTGACAGTAAACTATATTACTTAACTTAATGTCAAGAGGGTAAGAAATGTAAATAATATAAAATAAACACTAAAAGAAACTAAGATAAAACTAAACGAACAAAAATAAAGTGAAAAATATATCAAGTGTATATGTATAAACTAATAGGAATAACTAAAGAAAAATATAAAGAAACTAAAAATAAAAGGACAATAAAAAGACAATAATTCCACTATAAAAGAAAATAACAAAGTATAAAATGTATATAAAATAAGTATTTTTCAAGAAAGTATCAGTTTATTAGATAAAAAGAATAAAGAACTGGAAACCAAGTCTAAGTTTAAGACCAAATCTTAGGCAAAAAGGCCAGGTTTATAAATCTTTTACAATCCTAAATAATTACTAATTATAGTTCGTATTATTGTACTATTGTATTAAAGAGACTTGTCAAAGAAACTTGTCAAAGAAACTTGTCAAAGAGACTTGTCAAAGAGACTTGTCAAAGAGACTTGTTAAAGAGATTTGTCAAAAAAACTTGTCAAAGATACTAGCTAAAGAGACTAACCAAAAAGACTAACCAACAAGACTAGCCAATGAGACTAGTTAAAGAGACTAGCCAACAAGACTTAATTACTCGTTAACTATTGGTTAAAATGAAAAACTATAAAAACTATACTAATAAAACTAATACTAAGGATTCTATTGGTTAAATAATATTTGTTACACTTAGTAGTTACATGTAGATAAATAATATAAAATTTAAAGTACTAATATAATACTCATATAACAATATATTTGAGAAGCTGAATGATTTTAAAATTAGTAGTGTTTTTATTAAGGCCTTCAATTATAGGATTGGGGTGGGAGAAGATATTATGAAAGACCATAGATTGTTCTGTAGTTGTTGGATACGAATGAGTGTAGAAGTGCCGAGAAGATGATTGTTGTTGAGCCATTTGATAAAGTTGAAAATATGATATTGTAATTGGATATCCCAGATATTTTTGATATTGTAAATTTGTGAATAAAGTAGAGTACTAGTAGGTATAGTTCAGCTGAGTTTGGCTTTGTGCTTGACTAGACCAATATGACATGTAAAGATTTTGTTACAGGCTGTTTGGCTAAGAACAATATTCTGTAAGCGATATTCAATAGTAGGTATAATAACTGTATTAATAATATAACAGGCTTGTGTATCTGTAATTTTTTTTGGACTAATTGTTTGAATAAGTTGAGAAGACTTATTTGCAATTTGTTGTATTTGTTTAAATTGTTTGTTGTCAAGTGTAAACCAACACCCAAGAAATTTAAATGGTTGGTGTAGTGGTTGTAGTAAAAGTGTTTGGTTATTAAAGGTAATTGGATAGTGAGAGTTAGTGGTAAGAACTGATTTGTTTGGGTTTATTTAGATATTAGCAATAGAATAGAAGGATTCTGCAATTGAAATTATTTTAGTTAGTTCTGTGTGTAAGGATGCAACCTATAGGGTATCATCTATATAAGCAAGGACTGAGTATCTGGTTTTGATTTGGTTGGTTGAAAAGTTTTTTAAACTAGTAAACTATGAATTTTGTATTTGATATCCAGATATAGTAGAATGTATATGGGGTCATAGTAGATACGCCAAAGTAATGATGTAATTGTTTCTCCTTGGTCAATACTGTCTTGCATGAGGTAAGAGGGTGTGAGGCCAAGGTTGGTAATAACATTATTATGGCGAC